CCAAATAATCTCTCTTCCAGCTTGGTCTCTGCTTTTTGTTCGCTAAACTATTGTTTACTTTGTTGTCTTTTGATTGTAGACACAAACATGACTAGATGGATAGGAGTTGTGGCTTGCTTTTTAAAGTTTTTTAAATTGAGATGTAGTTCACAAACTGTAAAAGTCGCCTTTTTAAAGTATACAACTAACTGGCTTTTAGTATATTCAGAGTGGTACAGCCATTACCAGAACATTTTCATTACTCCCCAAAGAAATCTCGTACTCATTAACCATCACTCTCCATTTCTCCCTTCCCCCAGCCCATGGCAACCATGAATCTACTTCTGTCTGTAGATTTGCCGTAATATGTGACTATTTGTGTTTGGCTTAATTCACTTAACATAATGTTTTCAAGGTTTATCAATGTTGTGGTATGTATCAGTGCTTTATTCCTTTTAATGGTTGAATAATATTTCATTGAATGGATATGCCATATTTTGTTTATCCAGGCATCATTTAGACTTTTAGCTGTTATGAATAATACTTCATGTACTGTGTGGACATGTTTTCAGTTATCTTGGGTATATACCTAGGAGAGGAATTTCTGGGTCATATGGCAACTCTTTAACTTTCTGAGGAGCTGTCAAAGTGTTTTCTATAGCAGCTGCACCATTTTACATTACACCGGCAATGTGTCAAGGATTCTAAATTCTCCACATCTTTGCCAACACTCTTGTTGTCATCCATCTTTTTCATTATAGCTACCCCAGTGGGTCTGAAGTAGCTTCTCGTTGTAGTTTTGATTTTTCATTTCCTTATTGACTAATGATGTGGAGCATCTTTCCCTGTGCTTATTGATTATTTGTATAACTTCTTTGGGAAAAAATGTCTATTTGAATCCTTCGCCCATTTTTTGTTACTTGTTTTGTTATTGTTGAATTGTAAGAGTTATTTATATGTTCTGGATATTAGACCTTATCTGATGTATGATTTGCAAGTATTTTCTTTCGTTCAGTGGGTTGTCTTTTTCACTTTCTTGGTAGTGTTTGAAGCTCAAAAGTCTTAATTTTGATGAAGTACAGTTTAATTACTTTTTTCTTTGGTTGCTTGTGCCTTTGGTATCATGACTCTATAACCCAAGGTCAAGAATACACCTATTTTCTTCTAAGAATTTGATTTCAGCTTTTACATTTAGTTCTTTATTCCATTTTGAATTAATTTTTCTATATGGTGTGATTCTTTGAATGTGGAAATCTAGTTATCCCAGCACCATTTGTTGAGTATGGCTTTCTTTTTAACTTTTCTTTTCCCTTGCTTTGTTTACCATCATTCCAAATACTTAAATTAATAGTGCCTGCAAATGTGCAAGGCATATGATAAGATAGTGGCGTATATACGGTTTATGATAAGAACCTTGTCTTCCCTTGAGGACTTACATGCGGTTGAGACTGATGATAGCATATATATATATGCGAAGTTGTTAAATGATGTATGATTCAGTGCCAGAGGGGTGTTGGAGAGAACAGAATTTGTTAGGAATTGAGAAGACTGATTAAGTTTAGGCAGAGAGGTTCATAGTGGAGACAAAGCCATTGAGAACTACTGAAGCATATAGATTTTTTGGGGTGGGGAGGCAAAATATCTATGGAACACACCTTTTGAGATTTTGAAATTTTCCTGACTTACTAAGTCTTCTCTTAGCCTAAATTATGTTGTTAAGAGTTGGAAGCACCTGATACATACTTTGAAACTGTACTTAGAGAAAAGGGCAGTTTCTGTTTTGGCCATTTGATATTGGATTGGGTACCTATGGATACCATCTTCTGTTTGCTTATCTTTTTATATCTCTCAGTAGTTGTCATTGAGCCGGACTTTCTGTATTCCATCTTCACAGTCCCTGCAACCTTCTAGGATTTCTTTTCTTGAAACCCTAGAGAAACTGTTCTTGTTGTGGTCACTGATAACTTCCACATTGTAAATCCAGTGGTCAGTCTCAGTTCACCTCTTACTTGACACTGTTGCGCATTTAACACAATTGGTAACTCCCTGCTCATTGAGACCTTTTCTTCACTTGGTTTCCCCAACACCAGGCTTTCTTGATTTTTCTCTGATATCCCAGTTAGTGTTTCAGTAGTCTTCGTTAGTCTCCTTTTCCAATCCTCTTCACCTTGGTCTCATGAACTTAGAGTTCCTGGGACTCTCTTTTGCCACTTTGTGTGTGTGTGTGTGTGTGTCTACACTTGGTCTCTAGGTAATTTCATTTAGTCTCACGGCTTTTAAGTATCACCTGTATGTCAGTGACTCACAGATTTGTATATCCAGCCCAGACATTACTCTTGAACTCCAGGTTTGTATATCTAGCTGACTCCTCCATGTATGCACTGGGGCAACTACTCAACATCTTAAATTTAACAAGCACCAAACTGAACTCTTTATCTTTCCCTTCCTCTCATACCTGCCCAGCCTTTGGTCTTTTTCATCTTAATTGAAGACAGTTGCATCTTTCTAGTTGACTCAGGCTAAAAACTTTGAGGTCATCTGTGAGCTCGTTTGTTCCTTCGCCTCGAGTCAGGAACTCCTACTGGCTTTACCTTCAGAACATATTCAGAATCCAGCTGCTTCTCACCACCTCCATATCTAACATCCTGGTCTGAGCCATTGTCATCTGGATTGCTACCACAACCTCCTAACTTATCTCCCTGCTTCTGTTCTTGTACAGAACAGAATTGTCAGCCAATTTTACCATATTAAAATCTTATGTCAGTTTATGTACCAGCTGTGCGCAAAAGCTGGCAGTGGATATCCCTTTCACTGGAAGCAGAAGCCAAAGTCTCTGCAATGCTACAAAGGCCCTACAAGATTACGACCCCCACTATTTCTTGAGCTTCTCTCCTCCTGTTTTCTTTTGTAGGAAATCTACTTTAGTCACACTGGCATCCTCACTAGTCCATGAATAGTCTAGGTGTAGTTCTACAATAGAGCTTTTGTCCCCTCAGCCTGGAATGCTTTTTCCTGTAGGGGAGGAAAATAATTTTTCCTTTACCGTTGTGAGTTCTTGGCTGCAACCCCTGTAATAAAAGACAGATTAACGAGAGAAAAACAAGCTTATGGACATGTATAGTTCATGTGTACAGGGCGATACTTAGGGGAAAATGAGTAACTCAAAGAGTAACTAAAGACAAAAAGGTATAGGGAGTCTAGTTATGGGAAGGTTACCAGGAAAAGCACGGTAAACAAGAGTATGGTTTGTTATGCAGATCTGAGTCCTACCTTCTCCATTGATAAAAGTTTCTCATAATTTAGAGTCATCCTCTTCCTGGAACTGAGAGGGAGACTCCATTTCAAATGGAGCTTTCTTTTATACATGTAAATTTCCCTTACTAAAGGGTAACTTATTCTGTCATTTCTCAAAGTAATCCTTATGCTAAAGAAGCATGTTTTGGGGTGGCATATTCTGCTACCCTTCACCCCTAAGGTAGTCAGATAGCTAATTCCCTCATTTCTTTCAAGCCTTTGCTCAAATGTCACTTTCTCAGTGAGGCCTACCACATCTACCCATTTTAAGACTGCAATTTCTTAACCCACATATACTCTCATCTCTTTTATTTTGCTTCTTTCTCCCACAGTAGCATGTATCATCTTTTGTCATACTATGTAATTGACTTATTTTGTGTATTGTTTATCTTGTTCACCAGAAGATAAGATTTAGGGCAGAGATTTTGTTTTGTTTCACTGCTATACCTAATGAGTGCACAATAAATATTCATTGAGTGAATGAACATACTAGGTTACTCTACTTTTAGGCTTGTTCTTGTTCAAATTCTTGGGCCCTAAATTTTAAGAACCACTGCTATATAATATTGTGTAGGATTTTGGAAGCCATGCCTTTTGCTTACAGTGGAGATATGTAAATATATGAAGTAATTGACAGATATAACTGAAATTGCCTCTATTTCTCTCTCCTTCCCTCTTCCCTTCTTTCTTTTTCCTGAGG